CTTTTGTGTTTTTACTTGGAAGTAGGGGACGCGCGCGGTGCCATTAACCCTCTGATGCGATCCGCGTGCATGCCGTTGACTCTGCCAGCAATTTGATTTAAAGGTCATTCTCTCCTATCGATCCGGTTTGGAGAGGGGGCGACTGAGCAGCGTAGGAATTGATCATCTAAAATAGAAGAGACGGTATTGGAGACTGTACGGAGCGCTGCTGCATTTATAATTGCTAACCACGCACCCCGTGTGAATTGGAACGTGCGCGCGCTGTGAGAGGAACGGGTGAAGACGTGGGAGAGACGACGCGGGCTCCGGCTTCAGTCAGGCTAATCTGATTTCTATTAAAATGACATTATTTTGAATAATAAGGTCGACGTGGTCAGAGCCGGCTATGCGGGACGGCCAGTGTGGGTGGGATGTGTGATGAGCAAAAAGAGGTTAAACGACTGTGAACTGTGAGTCGTCTCTCGCTGCTAATCCCACTATAGCACAGCCTTAAAGGGAAGCCAAACTCTCAGACTTTCACTTGACAGCTCCGTAAGATTCGTCCTGTTATGTGTTATGAAAGGTGAGCTGTTAATGGGAGGGAAGGTGTTGCATGGCGGAGATGGAGGGGGTTGCATGGCCGCATGGCGCAGCTCCAGAGATGGGAAGGAGATGCCGGGGAATGGAAATCGATACAGATTCAGGGCTCACCAGATCGGCCTTAACAATTGGCGCAGACGCACTCTGCATCCCGATCACACACATACTGGAGAGAAGAAATGGAGGAGGCGACAATTGCGAGGTGCTGGTGGTAAAACACTATCCTGTGGGAATTAACGTATATGGTTTTGCTTTGTGCTGTTTTGCAGTTCCAGCATGACTCCAGCAGTGCATTATTATGAGTCCTCATTTCACACTCGAACATCAGGATTCCTCTAAATGTGTTTGTTTAGGAGTCCAGCCAGCCTCTCCACACGAGGCTACAGATAATGTCATTTCATTTGGAGTGAGCTTCACTGAACTCGGGATTTAAACAAAATAGCCTCGAGGTATAACCTCAAGAAAATGACTGTTGCCCTCCCACCAGGGGATTGAAAAGGCGATGCTTGTACACGCGTGTCTCAGTACTTACAGCACATGATGCTGTGCTTAACGAACAACGAAGCTCTGAAACCACAGCTGCACTGTTTACTCCCCTATCTTCCCCTCATACATCAATTATTAACGTACCAATCGATTATTTCGCAGGCCAGCATCAAGCCATCTTTTCATGTAAAAAAAAATGCTGTTTGAGATTATCCCTCATCAATCACTTCTTAATGTTTCTACCAGTGAAACCCGTTATACTAGATTTAAAAAAAACATCACACCTTTTAGGCATTTTTATTACGTCAGGATATTTCCGTGAAAATCCCAAAATAAAGATGACCTCCACTTTGTATCTGCAGCTGCTAAAAGAAGCTGGAGATGTGATTTAAATGGAAACCCCGATGGGCTCCGTGCTGGACTGGAAAGTAGGATGCGTGGTGGTGTGATTGACGCGATTGTGGATTGTAATATTGATCGTTGGGTGGAAGCTGTTGGATGAAATAATGGTGTTTAGAGGCCACAAGAACGGTATCAAGTATGTATTTGGAAAACTCCAGATCACCACCTTCGACTGTCCTCAAACCTGCGGTGGATATTTCAGCACTCTGGACAGCGCCAGAAACTGACCAGCAGGAAAACGCTTTGTGGACATAAACACAAAGCTTTAACCACCTTCTGTGTGCCACACACAAACCAACACACATCGATTTAATTTAAAGAAAAGCAACAATTTAATTAAAATATACAAAACACACAGAATTCATCAGTTTGATATAAAAGCCCGAGTTTATCTCAAAATGATGAACCCCTAACCAAAATGAAGACCGTGCGTTGTAAGGAATGGAAATGTGCTGGGGATCTTAATAAATACGTATATTTACCCAGGAAAATGAATGGATTAGTGCAGAGAGGAAAGGGCGCAGAGTGATGCTGATGGGGGGGATGGTGGTGGATGAGCTGGAGTATAGCTCCAGGATTAGGCCTGTGTAAACTGCATGTAGTCCATTGAAACATGAATAGAGGCCTCCCACCGTCATTCTCGACAATGTTTTTCCTCTGTGTCCTGTGGGTCTTGACCTCCACACCCTGGCACGTGCTCCGGCCATTTAGATGGAAATGAACCGCTTCTTTTTGACAGAGAGGGAGAGAGAGAAAGGGGGGACCCTGGCATGCCATGGCACATTATCACTGGTAAATGGAAGGAAACGAAGCGGGTATTCCTGGAAGGTAGGAATGTATTTTTTCTGATGATATTTTCCGTGTTGTCCAACATCTGTTGGAAAAACGTGAACATTACCCGGGTGCACGAACCCCCAAAGAACAAACAAGGGATTATACACCGCATAAACAAACAGAACATGATAACAGGAAAGAAAAATATGTGCAGGGGCGTTTTTTTTAAACCAGCTGTCCCCTTTCCCAACCTTTTCCGGCTCCCGCCTTCCCCCCCCTCCCTTCTGCTCCAGGGGAGAAACCAATGGGAGAGAGTGCTGAGGCGGGATAATTGATAGATGCACTGGCTATCCTTATCGATCAGGGCTGTATTGACTCGACCAAATACATTGAGATGGAGTGTGGAATTCAACACAGATGCAAAGACGAATTGTTTTCATCGTTAATGCGATCTTTAAATGCCCCCCAAACCTCACTCTGCCCGCGTCTCTCTTAAAGCTGCCCGCTTACACAACAGCCGTCTGCATAATATATGTTCAGAGTGTGGAAATGCCTTTTGTTTACGTGGCCAGTGTGTTACAGGTCTGCATATGAAGAACACGGTAAGTGGAGAAAGCATTAGGAGATGTTAAGCGTGAAGGACACACATCCCCCCTCCAAACGTGCCCACCTTTGCTCTGCTTTTCCTGTCGGCAGTGAATTGTCATGTGTGTGCGCGCGGACACTGGTATTTTCGCATTAGCTAAGCAGGGCAGCTGCATTGATTCGTGTGACTGTGATGAATTTGGAATAGTAATTTGAATTTATTGATTGATGTGGCCGAGCGAGTATGGCCCAGCCTCACTTTCAGCATCCAAACCCCCACCCGCCTCCCCCAACTCCCACTCCCAACCCACATGAAAGCCGAGGATAATTGTGATTTTAAATGCAATGAGTAAAATGTTGCTCCCTGCATTTACATACGAGTCATTTGTCATTTTAACCCACCTAGAGTGTCCTTGCTTCTGCTGTGGCAGCAGGTTGATGCACAGTGAAGGCTTAAGAATCAGCTTTTTCCAAAAAGAAGTATTTATTAATTGTGTGGTGGGAATTTCGAATAAACTTCATTTATTCATTTAATGTTGATAACATTTGCACTTTCTGGTAAACTAAAATGTGGTAAAACAGTGCAGCTCTTATTTTCGTTCACCACTGAGCACCTCTAGTCTGTCCTGGACCTGAGCACATTCAAATATGCGGCAGCCGTGTGCTGCACAGGACTGTGCCACTCCAGCACGCTAGTTGAATTGAGGGTTTTATCCTGGTGCCGGGTGTGGAAGATATAAAACCCCACTGCCCAATTAGCTTTAACAGCAGTGGCACTTAAAGAGACAATTGTGGAGTGTTTAAATCTTTATTTACCAGAACCCCACTAAATACGCAAAGGAACAATTTACATGCCATTAAGTGCTTTTCAATAGGGCATTGACTGGAACTAAAATATGCCACTATATCTGCTTAATTGAACTGTTCACTGAAATACGACGCAGAAGCGCTGATTGACGTTTGGAAGAGCAGCGCGTCTAAACAAGGCCTTTACAGAAACATCAATGATGGGGGACCTTTCACTCACATCTTTGTATTAACTCCACAGTGGAGCTTGTTTTCATTTATATCCTATTAATCAGGTTGCAAGTGTTAAAGACTTTAAAGTAGGCAGAGATTTGGGTTCAAATCACAGCCTTTAATGTGACAATCTTTGCGCGATAAAAATCGAAACGATGGATCAAAGTGGCGGACCATTCAGAAAACCGAAATGCTGAGGCAGAGAGGGTTTGTGCCACATTTAGTATTTGTCCTGTTAAGCTGAGATCTCATATAACTTCACAAACAGCAATAAACAATTTCTCAGCACAATGACTAAATAGGCCTTAAATCAAATTAGTAGACAGAGATCCCAGAGAGAAGAGGGGACAACACAGACCAGAGAAAGACGCATCTGTTTGTGTCTTACAGATCCAGATCGATCATTTATCACTGCGCTACTCTGAAAGGGGACGCCTGGACCTGGAATATTGATCCATAGGAGGTCATGCTCCCCAGACTCTTTGGCCAGGCCTCAGACGATCCTTGTTTGTGACCACGCGCATATTTGACAAGGAGAGAGCCAAAGAATTAGATGAGGTTTGTTAAATAAATAAAACTGGGTGTTCGGGGCACAATGATATCAAAGTATAGCGTTTACCTTTCAAGTAAGATTTAATCAATTTCACTTCTCGCTCTGAGTTCCTTTGTTTCGCCTCTTTCTGCGTGCATGTGTGTGTGTGTGTGTGTGTGTGTGTGTGTGTGTGTGTGTGTGT